TATGACAAGGTGTCCATTGCCACATCTCACCAAAAGTCACATGACAAGGTGTCCATTGTCATGGCTCACCAAAAGTCACATGACAAGGCATCCATCGCCACAGCTCACCGAAAGTCACATGACAAGGCATCCCTTGTCACATCAACCCAAATGTCACATGACAAAGAGTACATTGTCACGGCTCACCAAAAGTCACATGACAAGGCATCCATTGCCACAGCTTACCAAAAGTCACATGACAAGGTGTCCATTGTCACGGCTCACCAAAAGTCACATGACAAGGTGTCCATTGTCACGGCTCACCAAAAGTCACATGACAAAGTGTCCATTGTCACGGCTCACCAAAAGTCCCATGACAAGGCATCCATTGCCACGGCTCACCAAAAGTCACATGACAAGGCATCAATTGCCATGGCTCACCAAAAGTTACATGACAAGGCGTCCATTGCCATGGGTCACCAAAAGTCACATGATAAAGCATCCATCGCCCTGGCTCACCAAAAGTCACATGACAAGGCGTCCATCGCCACAGCTCACCAAAAGTCACATGACAAGGCATCCATCACTACAGCTCAACAAAAGTCACATGACAAGGTGTCCATTGTCATGGCTCACCGAAAGTCACATGACAAGGTGTCCATTGTCACGGCTCACCGAAAGTCACATGACAAGGTGTCCATTGTCACGGCTCACCGAAAATCACATGACAAGGCATCAATCGCTATGGCTCACCAAAAGTTACATGACAAGGCGTATATTGCCATGGGTCAGCAAAAGTCACATGATAAGGCATCCATCGCCACAGCTCACCAAAAGTCACATGACAAGGCGTCCATCACCACAGCTCACCAAAAGTCACATGACAAGGCGTCCATTGCCACGGCTCACCAAAAGTCACATGACAAGGTGTCCATAGCCATGGCTCACCAAAAGTCGCATGACAAGGCATCCATTGCCATGGCTCACCAAAAGTCACATGACAAGTTGTCCATCGCCACAGCTCACCAAAAGTCACATGACAAGGCGTCCATTGCCACGGCTCACCACAAGTCACATGACAAGGCATCTATGGCCACACTCACCAAAAGTCACATGACAAGGCATCCATTGTCACGGCTCACCAAAAGTCACATGACAAAGCATCCATTGCCAGGGCTCGCCAAAAGTCACATGACAAGGCATCCCTTGTCACGGCTCACCAAAACTT